TTTGTTTTGTCTTTTGCCTCGTCAGCCTCTGCCTGGAGCTTGACTTGGCGCTCTGTGTGCCGAGGCCGCAGGCTGAACCGCAGCGCTCAGTGTGTAAGGGGATAGCGTGTTGGAGTAGAGACTTCCCCCTTCACTGCAAACTTCATTTCACAGGAAATGTTGAAAGTAGTTAAGTCTTGCTCCTCAGGCAGCTCTCTGACAACATGACTGCCTTGTCCTCTCTTTTCCCACTGTCTCTATGGGCCCAGTACCTCCACTGCTTACATTAAAAGATGTGTGTCTCTCTCCATATAGCGCTTGGAGTTTGATATTCCCGTCTTTCACCCACTAGTTGACCCCTCCTCAGGTGAACTGGATGTGAAGAGAGCATTTGCAAAGTGGAGGTTAGTAAATAAGTGTTTCCTTTAGTGACAGAGTCAGTCAGAGGAAGCCGCAGTCACCGTGCCGTATCTCCCTTTAGGCGGAACCACAATCACATCTGGCAGGTGTTAATGTACGCAAGGAGAGTGTTCTACAAGATCGACACAGCAAGCCCCCTCAACCCAGAGGCTGCAGTCCTGTAGGTTACTGTGCTTTGTTATTTAAGTTAAATTTGAAAATGCAGCCAAGTAGGTTATGTTGGTAACTTTTTGATTTAATCTTTTAACACAGATATGAAAAAGATGTCCAGCTGTTTAAAAGTAAAGTGGTTGACAGTGTTAAGGTGTGTACGGCCCGACTGTTTGATCAGCCTAAAATAAAAGACCCCTATGCCATTAGGTAAGTGGTACACTACCTAGATAAACTGTACTTTGCAGTCCTGTGTTTCGTGTTCCAGGTGGTCTTAAAATGGGGAGTAAGCCCTGGCTGGTGTGGCTCAATGGTTGGAGCATCAGCCTGTGCACCAGAGGGTCTCAGGTTTGATTCCCGGTCAGGGGCACTACCTGGCTTGCAGGTTCAATCCCCACCCCCTCACAGCAGTTGGGGTGTGTGTGGGAGGCAACCAATCATGTTTCTCTGTATCTCTTCCTTCCCCCTCACTTTAACTGCCCCTCCCCCCCTTTTGAGAGCGTGTCAAAGGGAAAGCGTATAATCTGTTAGCCTGCAACCCCATTACTTGTCAACAAGATTTCTGATTCCTTAAAAAGCTTTACATCAACTGGCATGTTGTGTCAACAGCAAACTATTTCGTGACTCTGGTTTCCTAAGGATCCTTGTGACGTGCTCTTTCAAGTGTCAGGACTCTCCTTTTCAGGAGGCAGTTTAAGCGAGAGCCCTCTTAACTACCAGAGCCCTATCAACATTCAGATTTGGTGAAAGGAGGGAAGCTGCATAGTGGGAGAGTGACTAGTGGGACAGTGGTTTCCTGGGGCACTGTGATACTTGATGTTGGGGATGAGTGGTGGGAAGAGTACTGAGACCTGAAGGATTGGCATTTTAGCACTCTGCACACTAGTATTGCTGGGGAGGCAGTGTAGTGCAGTGGTAAGGGCTCGGGCTCTGCAGACAGACTGGTTGGCTTTTGCACTTACTGGCTTTGGTGACTCAGCAATTAATTTTACTGGGCCTCACTTTCTTCATTTTTAAATAGTATCTCAGAGGTTGTGAAGCTTAAATGAACTAATCCAAGGAAAATGCTCTATAAAGGATAGTTATGTGAAAAAATAATTTAGATAATATCTAAAACTTATATGGTCGCAAATGATTAAAGACTACTCTTAAATCCTTGTTAGGTTTTGTTATGGCAACTAGCTTAAGTATAAAAATATGGATATTACACAAATTTAGTAAGCCAAGCAGTTTTTAAATCTTTTTCTCTTCTTAAGCTTTTCTCCATGGAATCCTTCTATACATGATGAAGCCAGAGAGAAGATGCTGACTCAGAAAGTAAGTAGATAACCATTTTTGAAATAGTGAACTCGCACTTTCCTTTCTGAAATGGTCTTCACTGTACATCTGCTCATGCTGTACACACAACTTTTGGGGAAACAAGTTTGTACAGTGCTGAAATCTCCCCCTAGTCACTTTCTGATGTCTGTTTTTTATTGTGCCTAGAAGAAGCCTGAAGAACAGCACAATAAAAGTGTTCATGTTGCTGGCCTGTCATGGGTAAAGCCTGGCTCAGTACAACCTTTCAGTAAAGAAGAGAAAACAGGAACAACCTAAGAGCTGGGACTGTGGTGACTCTGGTGCACCAGGCACTTTCCTGCGGACTCAGGCCTGACCAGCGGCCAGGACTGCTGCAGAGTAAACTGTGTGAACAAGGACTGATGTCAGTGGTGTCCGTGTGTGCTTAGGTTCTGACGGCAAATTCTGGAAACCTCTCTTTAAGTAACGCATTATTACTTCTGTCAGAAGTGTCTTTAGGGTGGTTATCTAGTTCAGTACTCCAAATTATTGGGGACCTTGAGGCTTAAGTATTTTTCTGAATATAATGCTAAAGGTAAGTGGCATTCATTTAAAACTAATACAGTAGACAGAGTTTAGCACTATCTAATGGTTCTTAAATCGGTGGGTTTCAGTTGTACATATGTTAGGATGTGGAGAGGAAAGGGATAGAGAAAGCAGGTTCCATAGCTTATTAGCACTTTTAGCGGAAGACCACGTGCCCCTCAGTCTTTAGCCTACTGTCTGATTTACGAACCGCTATCACTGAGGTGCATGCTAGGAGAGAGACAGCCAGAACACTGGTTCATAGTTGTTTTTTTAAAACAAATTACTTACTGTATTTTTATGGCAGAAGGGACAAAAAGTGTTAGAACGGTTTCTAATGAAGTCAGATATTTAAGTGATGAATGACTAATGTGTTTTGTAGAGACAAAATAAACCAATAAATGATGGTTCTTTGTCATTTATGCAGGAAACTACCCTCTTAGTATAACTGAACAGATTAATTTATAAATGCTTTATTGAAAAATGCACTTATTTTCATATAAAATTACAGTAGCAGAAGGTGTCTGGAGAGGTTTATAAATACTTTTGCAGAATGCTATTCTAACTGAACAGTGCAAGTTCCATATGAAGTTACCTAGTAACTGTTCATACTGATCCAATTTACAGTTGAATATTCTCCCTAATAAGATTATTCATTCAACTTAAAAAATGCTGGAACAATACTGATTAATAAAGTTATATATAGATAATTCAATAGCTGTTAAATAACCTTTTCTAATTTGTATGAATGGTACTATGTACTCATGAAAACCTAACCTCTCTGACCTAAACTCTCTTTAAACTGCCAGGGACACACCCAAAGATATTTAAAAATGTATCACCTTAGTAGACACATGTGTTTTGGATAACTACCTCCTAAAGGAAGGGGCCATAATTTTTCATATTAATTCACTTAATTCAACTTGATTTAAAATCTTCACTTAGCCAGCTGATCCCTATTAATGGGGGGAAAAAGAAAAACTGGAAAATTTAAAATACATGCCCCAAAGGTGGCTACTGGGGCTTTAACGGTTTTTAAAAAGCACAAAAGCATCAGAGAAGATAACTGAGTGTTTAGCCTAGCAGTTTTGTACTTAATAAAGTTCACATTGTAGAAAGTGCCATCACAATATACAGCAAAACCTGGGTTATGAAGTCATGCTTTTTACAGCCCTAAAGTGCCACTTCTTACACAAGCTCACTCACACTGCACAGCAAACACTCAAGCACTTGCCACACTGCACCACACCTGACAGGGAGGGAAGGACACACACACGGACTGGGACACTTGGGTATCTGAGTTTGGGACCTCTCCCTTGTTATGTTTCAAAAATGCAGAATTCTCAGACTCCTACCAAGTGTTTTAGGATAGGATACCTAGTTTTTGTGTTGCTTTTCGGGAGAGCCAGAGCAGACCACAAACAGGAATGGATTGCAATACAGTCTTCTGCTGGAGCATGTCAGCAGAGACCTCGTACACACATTTCAGCATGCTTTGTTCTCTACAATACCTGTAAAAGCTTTGCCAAAGAGTTAAAAAATCCCAGTTTGAATTCTAAGCAGCCTTGATGGCAAGCACTGAGTGGTAGGAAAAAAGGCAGATGGGATGAGTAAAAATAAGGATATTGGAAAGATTAAAGAAAAAAAAGCCCCATAATCTAGCATGCATTAAATGATGCTGTTAAACAGTTTGTGAAAGGAGTTTCAATACAACAGACTAACCTCAGTGGGAACCTCGGTCATTAGCTACATCTTGGAGACGGCGTAATAAGGCAGAATGATTTTCTGGGCAAATTCTTTTGGCAGGTGATTCACTTCCATCTTCCAAAAGAATCCCTCTCTTTTTGGTTGGAGTTTCTCCTGTCCGTATCATACTGTTAATTTCTCTTAGCCTCTAGAGTGAGGGAAAATAAATATAAAAACGTTAAAATGCTAATACACATAATTCATAAGGCAAAGAACCTCAAATGAGTTAAGTGGCTTACCTTGAAGAGTTTGAACATCTTAGAGAAAAGAACTACTAAATTATAAAGTCTCCCAGTGTCACCTCTCAGCTCACTGAGACTGATGACTGTGGAGTGCAGGAAGACTATTTTTTAACAAGCTCCAGAGGTGAACTGATGTACACTTTTCCAAAACGTAAGAGTTAAGAAATTTGTAATTTCCTTTTACAATAGTTATAGATCATGACATTGCTCTGCCATATTTAATCAATTCCATACAACTATTTCTTTTCTTTTATAAAATAGCATGATTTTATATAGTATTGTGCCTTTTTTTTTTCTCTTAGTCTGGCAGCCATTCTCAATTGGAATTTCACAAGAGAAGTAAGCCTTAATTCCCTATAGCATCCCTTGTAAGTAATTTATTAGTATGATCTAGAATGTAATATTTATTGTCCTTGGGAGAATTGAGAAAAGTTGGGCAAATTTTCTGTTAGGAATGCCTATTGGGAAAACACTGTCAGGGTGCCAGAGACTGGATCTGTTTTCAGTGCCTTTAGCGTTAAGTTTCTCCAAAGTGCCAAAAGTCATTTTATCACATTATTTTCTGGTAGGGTAGTTTTTTGGTTATAATTTTTTCCCCATGTGATGCTTCACTGTCCATGTTTTCTACTGGAAAGTATACTGAGCATATTCACATGCACTTATTAGAGGAAACTGTCTTGGATCTTCCCTTATTAGTCTACACGGATCACACATCTCTAACTGCTATACAGTATTCTACAGTATGTCTGTATCATAGTTTAATCCCCTCTTGATATATTACTTCCTCCCAATTATTTAGTACTATAAGCAATGTTACCATAATTTTTTTTAACAAGTTGTACTAACAAGCTGAAACTGCCCTGACAAGTGTCACTAATGATCAGTCATCTTGATATCACTTTGTATAAAAATATATCTTTATTGATTTCAGAGAGGGAGGGAGAGAGAGAGAAACATCAATGATGAGAGTCATTGATTGGCTGCCTCCTGCATGTCCTCGACTGGGGATTGAACCCACAACCTGGGCATGTGCCCTGACCAGGAATCAAACTGCCATCTCCTGGATCCTAGGTCGATGCTCAACTGCTGAGCCATACCTGGCTGGGCTGTAATATTATTCTTGATCTCAGCTATCATCTGTTAAGTCATGATGACAAATATTTCTCCAACCAACAGTCCAATACTGCTTACATATATTAGAGAAACTCCCAATTCTGTGCTACAATTTTTTTCTGAAACCTCCCCAGGTGGTGATCATGTACAAGCAGGATTGAAAGTCACTACACTGGATGCTTAACCTAAAATTCACCCCGGTAAGTGTACAGTTCTACACATTTTGACAAATACATAGTCACGTAATCATCACAATAAAGACATAAAACAGTTCCTTCACTCCAAAAAATTCCCTCATAGTCCTAGCTAACCCACCCGAGGAAAACACTGATGTTCATTGTCCCTACAGTTTTTCCTTTTCCACAGTGTCACAGAAATGGAATCATACAGTAAGTGGCCTAATGAATCGAGTGACGTTCACTTAAGCATTAATGCCTTTGAGATTCATTTTTGTTGCTAAGTGTATAAGTACTTTGTATCGCAAAGTAATACTCTTTGCTGGGTCTACCACAGATTTGTTTATCCATTAACCAGTTGAAGGACACTTGGGTTGTTTTCTACTTTCTGGCAATTAGGAATAAAGTCATAAACATTCATGAGCATGTTTTTGTATGAACTTAAGTTTTCATTCCACTTGGGTAAATACCTAAGAGTGAGATTACTGGTTATGGTAAAGGTATGTTTAACTTTATAAGAAACCGCCAAACTATTTTCCAGGTATAATGGTTACACTATACCATTTTGCATTCTGACCAGCAGTATAAATTCCAATTGCTCCACATCACTGCCAGCATTTGTTGTCATTTTTTAGATTTTAGCCATTCTCATAGGCATGTAATAGGTGAAGTGCGTTAAAATCTTTTGCCCACTTTTAAATGTGGTTGGTTTTCCTTCTGAGTTTTGATAATCCTTTATATATTGTAGATACAAATCCTTTATCAGCTATGACGTTTGTAAAATTTGTGGCTTGTTTTCTGTTTTTAAAGAGTAGAATTTCTTAATTTTGATAATCCAACGTATCGGTCTTTTATAGACTGTGCTTTTGATGCTGTATCTAAGAACTAACGTTCACAAAGATTTTCTCCTATGGTTTAACTTCTAAGTTTCATAGTTTTAGGTCTATGGTTCCTTTTGAGTTAATTTTTTGTAATACGGTACAGAGTCTGGGTGCAAGTTTACTACTTTTGAATATAGGTATCCAATTGTTTCAGCACCAACTGTTGAAAAGGCTATCACCTTTGTTGAAAATCAGTTGGCCACATAGAGTGGGGCAAAAGAAGTTTACAGTTCGTATGGAAAATAATACAATAATAACACAAGAATAAACTAGCCCTAGTCAATTTGGCTCAGTGGCTAGAGCACTGGACTGCAGACTGACGGAAGGGTCCTGGGTTCAATTCTGGCCAGGGGCATGTACCTGGGTTGCAGGCTTGATCCCCAGCCCTGGCTGGGGCATGTGCGGGAGGCAACCAACTGATGTCTCTCTCTCAGCCCCCTTCCCCTACTCTCTGAAAAGCAATGGAAAATTTCCTCAGGGTGAGGATTAAAAAAAACACCAAAACTGCATACTCACAATTGTAAACCTACTTTTGCCCCACCCTGTATGTGTGGTCTATTTCTGGATTCTGTCCTGTTGATCTTATAAATTGATATTTTCACCAGTACCACTGGAGTTGATTACTGTAGCTTTATAGTAAGTCTTGAAATCAGACAGTGTGAGTGCTTCAAGTTTTTCTAAAATTTTCATTATTCTAGTTTCTTTGCATTTTCATATAAACTTTGGATCCAGTTTGTTAATATGTATAAATAATTCTGCTGAGATTTTGACAGGAATTGGGTTGAATTTATAGATCAAGTGAGAGAAAACGGAGATCTTGATATTGTTTTCCAATTCATGAACACGATATATATATATATATCTCCATTTTCTCAATCTTTAATTTCTTTCACCAAGATTCTGTAGTTTTCAGGATACAAATCTTGCACATCTTTCATCAGACTTAACCGTAAGTATTTAATTTTTTAAAGCTGTTTATAGTGTTTAAAAATTCTTTTACTTCTAATTACTCATTGCTAGTATATAGAAATACATCTGATTTTTGGATATTAATTATGGGACTTTCTAATCTTATTGGTTCCAGTTACCTTTTGTAGATTTTGTGATTTTTCTATGTATAAAATTATGTGGTGAATGGAGATAGTTTTCTTTCTTTCTGTATGTCTTCTCTATCTTGCCTTATTGTACGTGCTAGAACCTGCAGTTAGTGTTGAATAGGAATGGTGAGAGCAGATATCCTTGTCTCTTC